TTGACGGTTCACATTGGTTGAAGGGCCAGACTCTATGGAAGGAGAATTAGTGAGCCTTGTTAGGTTCACACAGCCAGGCCTTCAGAGCCAGGGAGAAGGCCATGTTCCTCAGAACAAACCTGGCTTCATCACGTGGTTGGGCAGAATGAAATACAGATGTTTGTGTAGCGAAGTGTCTGGGAAACGCAAGAAAGAATAAAAAATATAGACATTTTTTAAAAGCTGGGGTCAAATATTTTTCAGCTGGTTTTGAAAGAATAAATGGAGCAATTGGAAAGGGTTTCTTAATTCACTTATCATTAATAAATGATGAGTGTTTGAAATATCACCGATGCACCAGAGAAGTAGTTACAAAAACATAAGTCTTAATTACTCTGCATCTTGCAAATTAAATGTAGCTTTGGGTACCATTTCCCATGTAAGTTCAGAACTCTTTCCCTAGGTTGAAAATATAGGTTCAGAAAGCCCAAAGTTTGAAAAATTGTTCAAAGATGGCAGGTAATGGGTTGAGCGTACTGCCATCCATGGAATCTTCCTGCCTTATTCATCAGCCACTCCTGCATCCTATAACTTGTGTGTGATGGGAATCCCCAGGAAGCTTTAGGAAGGAGGTGGCCATTGTACTGGGCTTATGTTCTGTACATCACAGCAGCTATCATGCTCCATATATATGCCAATCATTATTTTTTTCTCAAATGTAACTGTGTCAATTAAAATTATTAGAAATCTACTTTCATGGGGAACCTGGATGGATCAGTTGGTTAAGTGTCTGCCTTCAGCTCAGGTCATGATCTCGGGGTCCTGGGATTGAGCCCCGAGTCGGGCTCCCTGCTCAGCGGGGAGTCTACTTCTCCCTCTGCCTCTGCCCCTCCCCCCACTGACATGAGTGGGATCTCTCTCTAAAATAAATAAATAAAATCTTTTTAAAAAAATCTACTTTCATTAAGTCAATTAGAGAAAGACATGTATCCTATGATCTCACTGATATGAGGAATTCTCAATCTCAGGAAACAAACTGAGGGCTGCTGGAGTGGTTGGGGGTGGGAGGGATTGGGTGGCTGGGTGATAGACATTGGGGAGGGTATGTGCTATGGTGAGCGCTGCGAATTGTGCAAGACTGTTGAATCACAGATCTGTACCTCTGAAACAAATAATGCAATATATGTTAAGAAAAAAAAAGATAGCAGGAGGGGAAGAATGAAGGGGGGGAAATCGGAGGGGGAGATGAGCCATGAGAGACGATGGACTCTGAAAAACAAACTGAGGGTTCTAGAGGGGAGGGGGGTAAGGGGATGGGTTAGCCTGGTGATGGGTATTAAAGAGGGCACGTTCTGCGTGGAGCACTGGGTGTTATGCACAAACAATGAATCATGGAACACTGCATCAAAAACTAATGATGTAATGTATGGTGATTAACATAACAATAAAAAATTTAAAGGAAAAAAATCTACTTTCATTACGAAAACCAACTGCCTTTTTGTTTTTTTACCATATAGCCAACCTGTTTTATTAGTTTAATATATTCATTAGTCTTGTATCATGGTTCTATCAAATAGGTCTCTTTCCCTGATACAAGTTTTATCAGACTCCAATCCTGTTTTTTAACACTTATCCTATAATAAAGCTCAATTGCAGGCACTTTAAAAATGTAGTCTCTCGGGTAGAACTTTCCATTTCTGCAGGGTAGGGTTTCCTGTGGACCCCTGGAAGGTCAATTCCCTATTCTCACACACAACTCTTGGCCTCTGACAGGGCAGGCAACTACTGGGAAAAGGATCAGGAGCTCCATCTGAGTGCCTGAGGGATAGAATTTCTGAAAGCCACTCATTCTTGCTGCTTTAATCATACAGCTTCCAGGACACAGAACAGAAATGTCTAGATGCTCTTTCAAATTATGAGTCAGGAAGAATCGGTCACATCGAGACATGTTCAACAGGCAGAGTCAAAGATGCTGGTAGACACTTCACAGTGGAAATTGTATAAAAGCATCTTCATTTCTCCTCTGCCCGCAGATGGGTTTCATGTGAAAATAACCATAAATTAACTTCCTTCCTTCACTCTCTATTAAGCTTCAGGAGGCTTTCAGAAGTCAGTAATTCTTTTGAAACAGAGCACTTGTTTTAAAACATACCAGCTTAGACTGGTTCTTTCTGATCCTCCCTGTTAATTACAATAAACCCAAGAAGAACTCTGAAGAGGGAAGGAGGAAGGTAAACTGGCTCAGGACCTGCAGAAGGAAGGAATCACGGACAGGAACCCCACCCAGTCGAAGGCTAGCCTATACCCGGTGTTTCCCAGCCCAACTTAGGGACAGAAGATGGCCTGGGTCGAGGTATCCCTCCCACATTTTAGCTGTGTCCCTCGGACAACATCAGGTAAGTCCAGCACCACGATCTGCTAACACAAAGTGCCAGGGCAAGTGCTCTTCTTCCACTGAGCTGAGACTCCCCTCCCTGATGAGAGGCAAGGGCAGCTGGGAGGGGGCACCTGCAAGAGGGAGCATAACCCAATGGGCCCCCAGCCCTGAAAGTCTTTTGTGGAGATCCCCCTACCTCACCCTGAGACATGGGGTAATCTGGCTTGGGAAAACCTCTTCTTTCACCCCTTTGGGGACACTAGAAGAAGCAGTGAGGACCCCAGGGGCACCAGATAGGCCAAGTGGACCAAAATGACACATCAAAGGTCTGAAAATTAAACTGTTACTGGAACCACAACCCATTGGAGTAGACCAGGCCCTGCATATCAAGCATAAACAGGCTGACTAAAATAGAAGATTTATACAGGACCAAGATCCTCCTAACATAATAGCTGAAGTATCCAAAAATGCAATTAAAAATGACTTGTCATACCAAGATCAGGAAATCACAACTTGAATGAGAAAAGATGATGAACTGACAACAACAAGATGAATCATGCCAGAATCATCTGATGATGAGGGTAAAGCAGATCTCATAAGAATGCTTCAATAAGCAACTACAAATCCTCTTGAAACAAATGAAAAAAGTAGGTAATCCCATCAAAGACATAGAAGTTACAATAAAAAACAAATGGGAAATCATAGAACCAAAAAATACAATAACAGATATAATACACCAACTCATACCAAATATTTCATTTGACTTGCAACCAAATAAAACAAAAGCCACATATTGGCTTCTGATAAAAATTATTTAAATGTCTAATAACAGCAATAGTGACATATTTAGTCCAAGGCATGTCTATTTTTTTAAAGACTTTATTTATTTATTTGAGAGACAGAGCGTGCAAGAGAGTGAGCACAAGAAGAAGGGACAGAGGCAGAGGGAGAAGCAGACTCCCCACTGAGCAGGGAGCCCAAGGTGGGGCTCGATCCCAGGACCCTGAGATCATGACCTGAGCTGAAGGCAGACACTTAAACAACTGAGCCACCCAGGCAACCCCCAAGGCATGTCTTTAGAAAAACTTGTTAAGATTATCTTATGAAAGTGGTTAAAGGGAACCAATTTGGTATTCTTTAAAATGAACCCAATCTGAAATCTAAAAGTCCAATCAGAAAAATTGAAAAAATGGGTAGAATGAAAGCATTAATTGAGTTGAAGTAAGTAGCATTCTGTCACGTTTTACCAAGCTCTCACTCACTTGCAGATTTAGCTCCTTCCAGAGGGAGCACTGACTATAATGAGCACATTCTGATAATTCACCAATCACCGTTTTCTCTGCATAGGTCAACAGGTTGTATTCAAGGAGGTACTTGCTTCTGTGTTTGCTTCTCTACTTTTTACTGAAGACAAAACCTCTCACCCAGCATTTTCTGGCATGCTATGGTGCTAGAAATGCAGCACCGATGTGTTCGTGGTGTACTTAGATTACTGATCCTCCAATACTCCTATGATCTACTGGGGGGACCGGGGACCCCCCCGACCCCTGGGACCGATGACTTCAGCTATCTGCAGCCTCTTCCCCTTAACCCATCCATTTACTTACACAAACATTCACTTGCTAAACACACAGTTTGGGGTACTTAATAAAGAGCCTGTTAGAAATATTTATTAACGAATGAAACTTTTCATAAAGGAAATGTTGTCAAAGCAAACAATGTTTTTATTATTTTGAAAGACTTAGGGTAACTAAGCAATGTGCTTTTTCTAAAATGTGTGAAATGCAAATGGCTTCAATTATTTCAACAATTGCAGTACTCAGATTTTATGATGGATATTTTGCATACCAGTTAGTACCTAAGAGACTTAACTTACAATGAACCTAAGGGGCATGATTGTTACCCCAGACCAATGTCTGAGAAGCAACAAGTTTAACCTAAATCTCCACATTTACTTAACAACGAATTCTCTTCCAAAACAGTACTCAGGCTTTCTCCAACACAAAATATTGTGTATTGTATAAACAGATTTCAAAATTAATCAGTTACTATGAACACTGCTGCCACATTCACCCACATGAAATCATTTAAAAGTCAGTTTGCTTCTTCCTGATGATATAATGGTACCTGGTGAGAAAGTCATTTGTGCGAGACTAACTCAAGTTTTATCAGCTATGACCAAAAACCAATTCAGAGAAAAAAAAATCTGCTATTCACCTTCATTTGTCAAGATGAAATATAATTTATAGTGAAAAACCAAAACATAAAATGGAATTCTGCTTTACTTCTACTAACTACAGAGAACAAACAGAATTAACAATTCATAAAATTATAAACTACTATAAGGACTACATAATGTTAAGAAAATCATAAGTCCATTCTACGAAAAATGTTTATGATTTTGTCTTATTTCTCCAACAATTTTGACAACGATATGCAGAATCCTGAGGACTGTGTGTTTTATGTATCCTTCCAAAAGACAATGTTTTCGTTCAACCATGAAAATACTTGTTTATGAACAGGATGCCATTAAAAGTCAAATTTCATGCTGACTAGTACACAATTTGAAGTTTAAAAGTTAAATATGAAATGATGCATTAATTATAGAATGATTTTTTTAAAATAATGTAGGAGATCATTTTACCTGGCCATACTTTGCTGCCAAGTGAAGTGGGGTCCAGTACTGATTATCTGCTATATTCAGGTCCCCGCCATGTTCCAGGAGAAGAGACACCACCTCCTTGTAGCCACTTGCACATGCCATATGCAACTAAAGTGAAGAAATATTTTGTTATATAACTTAAAGCAGTGACATCAAAACAGTTTATTCAGTGGCTTGAAGAGAGCTACTAAAATATTATCTAAATAATATAAAATAAAATAAATAACAAAATAAAATCTAAAATACCTTTAAAAAAAGAACATACATGCAGTTGTATTTATTTGATATAAGTGGACATCATCCTTCTTTAAACAAAGGCTTATGGTTTAATTATTATTTTCCTTCTGACCCTGACAATGTGCACTTTTTCATATAATTCCTATTTTCTTCTTTAGTGTAATCTGAATACTTTTAAATACAAAATGCAATAATTGAATGCTTTACCACTTCTTGCCCAAAAGTCAAACATGTAGGGACTGGCTTTGGAATTCTAGCCCTGTACTTGGTGCGACTGGAGGAGATTCGAGGACACATATGACAAGAGGAAATGTGATCAACTCGATGCTTAGGAATAGGAGAAAGGGGCAGGCACACTGGAAAGACTGAGTTGATCCTGACAGACCTTAAAATGATTATGTAGCTCTCATGTGAACATACTCCCAGTTTAGTTTATGAATGCAACCTGAAGTTTAGGAATGAAGCCTTAGGAGCTACAATTGATGGGATCTGGGTTTGGAGACTATTCAGACTTTTCAGACGGGGTAATTCCCGTTTCCAATGCAGCAGCCTTGATTTGTAAGTAAACTGTCATCATGCACAATTTAAATTAGGTTATTAAGTAACTACGTGATTGATTTCATGAGCATAATAATAAGAAACTACAACGAAGGCAAAAGAAAAAGAATATAAAAGCAGTAAACCAATGATTTCTTCTTGGTTTTGTAGCATGGAATTTTGTAGCTTCTTTTTATTACAAAGATAAAATTACAATAAAGCCAAAGGACTTATTAAATACACATACAGATATATTAATAAAATCTAGCAAAAACATTTGCTTTTCTACCTCTGGACTTAATTTTGCTCTTTAACGTACAGCATGTATTTATATGCCTATTTCTCGTACTTAATTGCACCAAAAGAACAAATACATTTATCCAATTTAAGGCATAAACAATAAGAGATTAAGTTTCACATCAATCTTCCTGTACTTTGTTATATATAAAATTTGCCTCATTAATATTCTAGCAAACAGTCCCAAGAATAAAATATCCACCCCAAGTATTTTAGAGAAATATAATATTATACACTTGATCTCCTGGAAAACCAATCTTTCAACTGCTCCTAAATTTATTCTACATTACTTGAATAATCAGGTGATTCGAAGGTTACTCTGAACAGTGAGCACTAATATCTGGATCTGAGAAGGTTTTCACTGACCATTTGTTGGTTAGCACCTGATCCTAACGAAGTCAAGTTCACTTGCATTAAGGATGAACTCCTTAATGAGTAGATTTGCTTTCCATGAGGCAAAAATCGGGCTCTCCCATTTCAAACTCAGCCCAGTTCCTGCCCTGCCATCTCAGGCACTGCTCTCAAGGAAAAGACTAAAAGGAAAGTCTTGGCTCACTTGGTAGAAAAGCTATCCAAAGCATGAGTTCCCAGTGACATCTCTGGAGGCAGACAAATTTAATCCTAGGCAATCTCAAAACAAAGGCAAAAACCCCTGACTTTGAGTATTTCCATTCCTTACAAGAGATAACAGAATTTTAAAAATTCATCATAGTAAGATATTAAGAGCTCCGAGGCTCTACCTTGATGTTACTGGCAATCAACTTCGGAATCCGTAAGCAAGCCTTCAGAGCCCCCAGGAGACCGTTCTCATCACTAAGTTAGAGCTTAAAAGATGTCTATTTTCTGAAATGGAAGTTATACCCCTCCCTTGTCCTGACAATTGCTGGAAGATGTCAGGTGCCAAAATGTGAAAGTGTTTATCCCCATGGTGTCTTAGAATACTCCTTTCCTGCCATTTTATGGGGTCTTAGGAGAAACACGGAGGCAGCTACTCTTTCTGTAAACGATTAGCAGCAGCTTCTTGGAAGGACGATTGCAAAAGGACAGTCCCGGAAAATCATGGCAGGTTGGACGTCACCTATCCAGTTACAACGCAGGACAAGGTTTCAGAGCCGCTTCACAAACGCTGCCCATAAAAGTGATCAATTATGCCCTTTTACGAAGATGGTGCCGAAAGCTAAGAAGGAAGCCCCTGCCCCTCCCAAAGCCGAAGCCAAAGCAAAGTCTTTGAAGGCCAGGAAAGCAGTGCTGAAAGGCGTCCACAGTCACAAAAAAAAGAAGATCCACACGTCACCTACATTCCGACGACCCAAGACACTGCATCTGTGGAGGCAGCCCAAATATCCTTGAAAGAGCGCCCCCAGGAGAAACGAGCTTGATCACTATGCCATCATCAAGCTCCCCCTGACTACTGAGTCAGCCATGAAGAAAACAGAAGACAACAACACACTTGTGTTCATTGTGGATGTCAAGGCCAATAAGCACCAGGTCAAACAGGCTGTGTAGAAGCTCTACGACATTGATGTGGCCAAGGTCAACACCTTGATCAGGCCTGATGCAGAGAAGAAGGCATATGTTCGACTGGCTCTTGACTATGATGCTCTGGATGTTGTCAACAAAATTGGAATCATCTAAACTGAGTCCAGCTGGCTAAATCTAAAGATAAATTTCTTCACCAAAAAAAAAAAAGTTATCAATTATTCCTTCTAGTCTGTATGGCCTGTGATGCAATGATCATTGTCCTAATGTTGCAGAGGCAAGAGTTGGGGATGAGTTAATTTAGGCAACCGGCCCAGAGGAGCCTGGCCCCTGGGGGCTGAAGCCACGTTCTTCTGCATTATCCAGCACTGACTCTCTGAAACAGCATACAGGAGTGGACACCCGCGTCAGCCAGGCCACCAGGGTAAAAACCACAATTTATTAGTGCTCCTAACGATCCTTGCGTCGTCCCATAATTTATTGATTTAAAAACGGAATTTTCCTTCTTCCTATAAACCACCCCTTCCCCAATATCCTTATCTTGTATTAGAACATTGGTCTCTGGAAGATGCCCACCATTTACACACTTGTTTCAGGCTCCCCCCGACCCAACACCCATGGAGGCGCAAGCCGCGTGTGTTAAACAGGGTGTGCAGCCTCCTCATACTGATCAAAACCGTCACCAGGTCCTGCATCTTTCAGATATGAAGACCCACAAGAGTCTCGGACCCCAGCTAGGAGTCTGCAGTAGCGCGATCATCTCTGAACAGCCTCTTCCTCACACAGGTGGTGTGCAAGGCTGGGGTCAAGACAGAGAGAATGATAAACCAACAAAAGCCCCATCCATGGAACGATGGAACTCAGCCTGAGGACTGTCCCACCTCTTCACCATGGTGCTCTTCTAACTGGCTGTTCTTCGGGAGAGCATGGTGCACAATCCTGTGGAGCATTACCATCCACCTGACCCAATTCCTCATTATTGGGCTCTTATGCGTTTGTCGTATTTCTGATTTTACAGAAGATCGCTTTGTCGATAATCACTATTATTTGTCTCTCTGATTATTTCCTCCTGAAACATTCCCAGAAATAGAATTGTGATTCTAAAATAATGAACATTTTTTCAATGTATTTACACACACTGAGTTTGGCAGTGTTTGTGCAACTGACACCTCATCCAGTGGTGCGTGGAGGGACTCTCCCTCACAGACCCTTAGCCTTCTAGTCTTCACTATTACGTATTTCTAAAATGACTATAAGTAAGTTCAACGTACTGAATTCCTAAAAATTGGTCTCTTCTAATATATTAGGAGGGTAGTTGTATTTTCTTTTGTGTATTGACTCTATTATTTGTTTCTCTACCAAGAGATGGTGATCTTTTTCATTCGTTTCTATGACTGCTGTGTTTTTTAAAACTACTAACACTTTGGAAGACTTGCTGCAAATATTATTCCTCATTTATTATCTGCCTCTTAATTTTGCTCATTATTTAATGCACAAATGTTCGTTTTAATTTTTGTCATGGTCAATGATCTCAGTATTTCCCTTTGTGCTTTCTCTCCCTATTTGGATATTGGAAGGGCTTTCTCCACCCAGAATTAACTCCTTTCTTTTGTGTAACATGGAAACTGGGGTTCATTGTTAAGTCACTTACTCAGTCTTCTATTTGTGAATCTCATTTTTAAAAAGAACCTGTGTGTGAATTTTAAAGTATCCTCCCAAGGAATGTGGTCTTATTTAAGGTCTGTGATCCCTGCCACTCTAAGGCTGGCAGGTCACTCTGAGGTTAATGTCAAATTTAGATGAAAATTATTTTAGGAGTAAATGAAAATCAATCTCGAGGAATAGCTATTCAAACACCTACCGGAATTAGCCCAGATTTTGAACCAATAACTGTGAATTTTCTCCAATTCTAGTTTTCTACCAGAATATTAACAGAGGATTTTTCCTGCCACAGTTTTGACTGGGTAGGAAGCTAATACGTATCACATCTCAAAGTGAGACCAAATATGGACATTTGAAAATAGTTGTCCAAAAACTGCCTAAATTACCTTTTATTAATGTTTTATCTCTATACTCACACCCAATGTGGGGCTTGAACTCATAACCCCAAGATCAAGAGTCTCACGCTCTATTGACTGAGCCAGCCAGGTGTCCCAGCCTAGATTACTTGTGACCTCTACGTCTAGACTGAGGGCATAATAGCTCCAAATGAGAGATAAAGGGAGACTGCACATGTGGGAAATTTTTGTGTGGTGGTGGGGCCTGGATTCCTCCCTAATTCAAGTCAGGAGAGCTTGGCTTCAGTGGCCACCAACAGAAGCTCTGTGTCCTCGGGGGTTTGGTGGAGACACTATTACTGGTTTTGATTCCTGACTAGAAGTAAAGGGCAAGAGACAGGCTGGCTCTCTGCTTTCGTGGGCAGTGAAGGGGAGTCACAGATACACTGGCATCCGCTCATGAGTTCGCAGGGGCAAAGACAAACACGGGGAGGATTTTCCGGGGACAAGCCATTTTCGTTTTCAGTTCTGTTTCAGGGGGATGCCTGAGGAGCAAGCATGGTTCAGCAGAGACAGGCTGGGGTACCCCTGGTTCCCCAGAGTGGAGGCAGGCATGAAGGACCCTCTGGAGATTCCCAGTGATGGGGGTGAGGAGGTGGTATCTGAAGAACCCCCACATCCTCACAAGGGAAGGGGTCAGCTTCTTGCCCGGAGAGTAGAACATCCTCTCAAGGAAAGTCAAGTCAAAGCCTTCCAGGTCCCAATGTGTCTCCTCCTGCCCATCTGTCTCCTCCCATCCTCTCTCTCCACTTCAGTGACACGGAAGAAGAGGCAGTGGCAGGAGGGGAAGCAGATGAGCACAGCCACCCTCCCTCCCATGGACGCCCTGGTCTGACACAACACTATGCGAGCAGCAGGTTCAAGATTTCACTGAGATCAGGGTCCTCAACACCTGAGCCCACCAGCCCCTGCAGGATCTAGGGAGAGATTCAGGGGATTTGCAAACTTGGAAATGGGAAAATGGTTAGTTTTATTTTTTTTTTCTAACCCAAAATGAAATTTAGCAAATTCTTCAATGGTGAACCTAGGCTACACACCTACAATGCTATCATCGAAAGAAATATGCTCCTATCACATTGTGGTCACAGCAGGTAGCTCCAAATATCCCTCATATTCAACTCTACTCTAACATCATGGTAATGAGTACATCCATTACTCAGCGCCTTCATAAAGAAGCACATGCATTACAAATCACAAATTTAATTTTAATATTAGGATTATGATGTTTCCATATAACTGGGTTTCTTTGTAATTCTAGGCACAATTTTTAATACATTAAGAACACAATTCTGACAAGGAATCCACAGCTACCCCCAAGATTTAGAGGGTAATATGGCATAAAAAAGATCAGTGAACCCTGACTTCATGTAAGCTGAGACTTTTCATGGTTATATAGGACCAGACATTCCAATCTCTAAACTGAGGCTATGTGTTCTGATATAAGGTAACCATAAAGGCGCTATTCCCTAAAAATGGCCAGAAAGCTGATGACACTGGCTAAGTCTTCATTCAGAAGTAAGGGATGAACCAGACATACTGAAATAACAAAGGGAGACAAAAATAAAATTGCTTGATGTTTGCATCTCATGAATAATTATTTTCCAACAAACCAAGTAAATGAGTCCCAAGGCCAGATGTTATATATCAAATTCTGTGACAGAAGAGTAAAGAACCAGCGTCTTCATAATGGATCTGAAAGTCATTACAGTTCATATTTTCAAAGAGCATCTACGAGCTCGAACTCAGGAACGCATTTCCATATGCTCTGTAACAGCTTTTTTTTTTTTTTTTGGAATTGTATCCTTTTTTGAGGCTTTGTTTTCTTCTAAGAAGAATATCTGTGTAAACCAAGAGGTCTTTTTCAAAGAGCTACATTATGTTTGGTTACTCTACTGCATATTCTAACAGAGGAGAAAAAGGCAACATACTAGAAGTGTAGCGGCACTGAGCCTTTTGTTGACAGCTTTATCTTTTTTGCACAATTTAAGCGTGGGAAATGATGCCTAATTTTAAACCACAACTGGCATCCCAACTCAGGATACAGAAATCTGTGGAAGAGTGTCTTCCACTGTTCCCACCTACAAGAGACCAGAATGCGCACAATTTGGAGGCCAGCTCAGGGTGGTGGCAGTCATTAACATGACAGACTAACCAATTCAGATGTAAGAATCCACGGAAACCGCCACTTGCTAAATGCTGAGAGCCATCTTCCAGGAACAACTTCCTAGCCTCCCAGTCACTGTTACTTCCCTCATAAAAAGCTCAGAGATGATCATTTAGTTATTACACAATTATTTGCAATGTTTATGCTCAATGCTCAATAGAAACAAATCACAAAGAATGTCAACACTGAAGATGGTTGAACACGATAGCAATTTATGGCTCTGTATTGATTCTTTCCACAGCTTCGCTAATGAAGTAGGTGGGTCCTTTTGTTCAGCGGTATTTGAAACACTCATGCTATTTTTTTATTTAGTGGGGATCTTTTTTAAAAGAAATATAAAGCTGTAATGTCTTTTGCCAAACAGAGAAGCAAAGGTCTATTGGGTTTCTAGGCTGGACATTAGTGCATTTCATGTGTTCAAAGAACCGTTACCCACTCCAGTGTGGATTTTGAGCCTCCCACTCCAGGGAAACCGTCCTCGCTGAGAAGACCAACGACCTCCACGTTACTGAGTCCAACGGCCAATTCACCATCTCCAGGCACTTGATCTCCCAGCGGTATCTGATAGTCCTCGGCTTCCTCCCGCTCCTCCTCCTCATCGTACTTCCTTTCCTTGCCTCCTGCGACATCTCATTCTTTTGGTTTTCCTCCTACCTTGTGCCAGTCTCATTTCTGGATCTTTCTCTTCTTCCTAAGTTCCATGGCTCGGTCCCAAATTCTCTTCCCTTCTGTATCAAATCTGTGATTTCATCCAAGGTCAAGGCTTTCAATGTCATGTACATGCTAGTATTCCCAAAAGTGAGTCTGCAGCCCAGACAGCTCCTGACTTCCAGACTCCAGTATCCAACCACAAACTCAGCATCTCCGTGAAGATGGCTCAGAGGCAGTTGTAGCTCTATGCTTCCCACACTGTCCCTGCTCTCAGCTCGTTTTGTCCTCCACCTTCATTGTCCCATTTGATGTCAACTCCATCATTCCAGTTGTTCAAGCAAAAAATACTTGGAGTCATTCTGCAGTCACCCTTTCTCTCCCATCACTTGGCCATCAGGAAGTTCCAATGGATCTTCTTTCCATGCAGACGGAAGTTAGCCACTTCCTACCCCCTCAGCTTCCTGCAGCTTTGTCTGAGCCACACCACCAACCTCTGGGTTACTGGAAAAGCCTCTTACCCGAACTCTCAGCGTCAGCCCTGCCCTTTGACAGTCCATCCTTAACACAGCAGTCAGAGCGAGTGATGCTTTTAGAACTGAAGCAGGACCATGTCTCACTCTCTTTAGAGCCCTCCAACGTGTTCCCGTCACACTAGAGTAACTACATCCTCACACAGATGTGCAGACCCTGTGGGATCTGGGCCAGCTACGTCCCTCCTTTCCTTTACTCTGCTTAGCCTCACAGGCCCTTGTGCAGTTTCTAAATCACAACACACCCACCCCTGCTGCAGGGCCTTTACGTCCAGCACTGTTCAGCCTGAAATGCTCCTGTGCACACCTGTGGTGTGTGCAGACCTCTCTCAGATCATTACTCAAAATTCCTGGTCAGTGGGACCTTACCTGTGTGCCTCCAAAATGTCAACAACACACTCAGCACCTCCCTGTCTTGTTTTATTATTTTCTCCTTTGCATTTATCATTATTAATATGCTATATATTTAGCTCATTTATATTGCATATTATGTACCTTCCCCAATGAAATGTGAGCCCACAAAAAAAGGATTTTTGTGGTTTTGTTCATTATTATTTTGTTCACAGGAGGTGGTTAATTAATAGCTCCTCAATAGAGTAATTAGAATATTTTTCCATTTGAATGTGTGATTTTTCAATAAATTCTAAACATACTTTGTTTTCTTTGCTCATAACTTGGCATTAAGTTTTTTTGATAGTCTTTTGAAATTTATATTCCAAAGTCCAAAATCAGTATCTAGGAAGGGCATTCTAGAGGTCTCAAAGTGCTTGATTTGCATTTAATAAGTCTAAAATTGAATCAGGTCTCACACCACTTTTATCCATTTAGACAAGTCACTTCTCTCATCACTGTATTCAACCTCACATCTTATTTTTTCCGTGGTAGAAACTGACACTTCTATGCACCCCATGCTTCAAGCATCATAGTCCCGTCTGCTGGTTTAATTTCTCTCAATTTTCTTCCCTGAGCTTCAACACATTTAGTTCCACAGCAATTAACTTTAACACCAGCATGCCCAGTTCAAGTACATTTTATGGGTCAATAGTCCAAATGTTTCTTATTTTCATGATTAGACATTATGCTTATATTAGAATTAATCCAATTTAATGGTACTGTTTTTACATCACTGCAACTGTGCCTGATAGCTATAAAAAAAGTAATGACATGATTTTGCTTGGATTTCGAAATTCATTCACCAGAGTAACCCATAAATTGTTTTTCTTAAATTAAAATGAAAACATTATCCTATAAATTCCAGTTCAGATATCACACTGACAAAGTAATGCATAAAAATTATTCTCAATTTTTAAACATACATGGAAGAAGTCCTGAAGAAAATATATCATCCTAGAACCCCTGGTTTTCTCTGAGCGGTGACACACATGATTTCTAGTTTCCTTTTGCATACTTAGGTGTTTCCAAGATTTTTACAATAAATATGTAGTACTTTTACGATCAGAAAAAAAAGACATTTTTACAAGTTAATTGTACCCAATTCTATGCAGTAGAAATCAACTGGAATTCTCTATTTAAGCAATATTTTGGAGTCAGTTACATAAACTTACCAGAGTTACCCCTTCATCATTTTTCTCATCGACATTTCCACCATCTGATAAGAAGTGCTTGACATCCGTTAGCATGCTCAATGGTCTCTGAAGCTTCATCTGGCGCAGTGAGGTCAGATCCACTCCTAGGAGGAAAACAGCCTTTCAATCAGAAGGCAGAGATGCTTCTCAGCCGCTTGGGGATCAACCCTTAGCTTTATCTTACTGTTCTTTCAACGCGTTCCTCTTTGAAGCCCCTCTTCCACTTTGAATTCTCACTCAGAGTCCGTATAATTGTTTTTCTCGGCATGCATTCTATTTTCAGCTAGAATACAGTCTTCAGTAATTTTCCTCTTATTATATCCCAAAGATGCGATATGATGCCTTATCCATCCATGGCAGGCTCTCACTGCATCTCTGGTTTAGTATATAAATCATCAATGGACACTGCCCAAAGTATTTTAAACAGTTTGAATTGAACTGAAGTGAGTTATAAAATATAGTTTTTGTTCTCTATCATTTCCTGGCCAAAAGAGTTGCTTCCAAAAGCAATGTGGTATCCTGGAACAGAAAACTGCCTATGGTGGGAAAATTGGAAAAATCTGAATAAATCTATAGTTTGGTGAATAGTATTGTACCCACGCTAACTCCGTAGCTTGGATCAACATAGTGAGGCCGTGTAGATTGGTGATGTGGGAAAACTGGGTGAAGCGTATATGGAATCTCCCTGTGCTAGTTTCACAACGTTCCCACCTATCTCAAAAGCTTTCAAAACACATTTAAAGAGATTCTCCAATCAAGCATTTCATGACTCTTTGTGTTAATAAAGAGGAATCAACTAAAGCGGAGTGAAGAACTGGCTGTCCAACTTGACTGAGGAGTGGGGTATGCGGCCATGGAGAACTCAGGTCTGCTCACCGCCCGTCCATTCGTCTTCACGGCCTTCATTTTAACCTGAGCTTTCACGGTCGTGAATCTCTGCGGTAGCTCATACCTTCACATTTACGCATGCCGTTCCCAGCTTTGGTTCCTGGACATAACAGGTGTTTACTAAGGGGAAATAATCCACCTTATTGTCAGGGAAAGTAATCATGATCATGATGATGATGATTATAGTGACCATTAACATCTGCCTCTCACCCAGTGGCTGCTATGAACCAGCACTCTCTCCCTCTCCCATCTGACTGAGTCCTTGCAGCAAATGTGGGGGTGGGCAGGATGCAGGGGACCAGAGCACCAAGGCCATCAGGAGCAGTTCCCCTGGTCATGCCAGTCTGTGGCTGACCTCCTCCGGGGCAACTCTGGGAAAGGAAGTTAACCTGTCGGATCTCCCACATCTGCACTCACTCCGATAATAATATATATCCCAAAGGAGCGAAGAAGCTACAGACACTATTTCTAGGATCTGTCCATGGGGCAGAGAGCATCCAGCCTGTTGCATATCTGCCCTCATTTTCCCCTCAGAGCCCAGCACCTCTGCCTTGGGGCACAACTCTCTCCCGGAGCCTGGCTGAACATCAGAGCATGGCCTCAGGGGTCAGCCTGCCTGGGTTTTAGTGCTGCGTCTTGTACCTATTTCTAGTGCCAATGGGAGAAGGTAACTTATCCTTGGCCTCACTTTCTCCAGCTGCAAAATGGGACTGATAATGTTTGTTTCACTAGTTGTTATGAGGATGAGTTACAAACAACACAGAAAGCACCCCGCCCCATGTTTGGCTTGTGGCCAGCACTCAATAGATGGGAGCTCTCATTCGTACTCAGCTTCCCCGCTTCAGGGCTTACATGACATTCATTATGCCTCTTGTCATAAAGAGGCAGGCAAGAAGCAAACAAAATAAAGCCAAATGCACTATTTGAATAATGTGGGCTGTTTCAAATACTCTGTCCAAAGTAAACCCATGTTAGTAGAGACATGAAGGGGCACCAATGACCAGCTTTGGAATCTCCACATGCCATGTTGGAAGAACGAACAGATTTCCCCTAAGAGTTGCTTTGAGGTTTGTTAAGAACCAACTAAAACTATCACTCTCTTCTTATTTTTAGGATGATGGAATTGAACATGTGAGTTAATTTTGGAAAATATTATTTCTCAAATGTCAGTGTTCAATTTTGCACAGTTGGAAGCAGCAGAAGAATCTGATGGTTACATTATTCTAACTTTTATAATGTGGCAGTGTTTATGGGAGTGGTATGTATCTTTCACAGAATTACTTAAACACATGGTTAAAACTGAATGATAGAAGAACAGGGCTCAAAGATAAAAGACAAATTAAAAACACATTAGAGATCACTCATTTCAGCTCACTTACGATGTGTCATGAGAAAGCAATCTATTTTAGCCATTGTTGTGAAGGAATCAGAGGGGAATATTATGACCTTGTATCTTATTATTTTAAAACTTAATTTTGAACCAAATATGATACCAAGTAAAATGTGATTTCAGATTTTCATTATATGTTCAGGAAAAAAGCGTAAGTCTGTTTTCAGTAAGCCAACAAAACAGAAATCCCTTCTTTTCTTGGTCAAGCAAACTTATTAAGCTGCTCCAGGAGAAAAACAGCCAAGACTTACTATGGGCATAATAAGACTATTTTGTAATGGGCAATTGGCCAAGCCTGTCTTTTTTTTTTTTCCCCCGAAGAAATGAAGTTTTATTTTCATCCTGGTTTCTGAAAACCATTAATAGAAGTCCTGATTAGATTTATCATTTTGACAGGAATCTGGTAATTTTTTTTCATTTAGGAAATAAGAAAAACCTCATTCGCCTGAAATTCACAAGTGATCCCACATGCTACTAATTACTATTGCCTGATTACATTTGATACCATCAGGAGGTGCATGTGCAGAACTGAAATCGCAGTAACACCTCAAGTCAGTCCAAACCCTATGGTAACTAATCTCCCTAACTGTCCCTCTTATGATAACATTGTTTTTGTAACAGTTCCATGTTTCCTCTTCTCCATTACCCCTTCTTCCCTGGGGGGGCTGGGGGGGGTGGGGACTCGGCGCTGCTAGCTCAGGTAATACTGTACCACCGCGCCCACGCGACCGGCCCCTTGACGGAGGCACGGCGCTCTCTCAGCTCCTAGAAGTCCCAACTCTACGTTTTGTCTCCATAGGAAGCTTCCTAAGCTTGCTAAATCCAACAATTGAAGCCTGCTCTGGGCAGGCAACAAAAGGAAGCTGGTTCTAGCAAAGAAAAATAAACATGTTCAAGACAAAAGGGCGTTTCAGCCCTGCCCCCGATCGCTTCCCCTCGATCCTGACCAGAAGCATCAAGTGGGACTGTCCCAGGCACCATGGAACACACTGCCACACTAACAGTGAGTGATTCCCAAGACAGTGGCGCAGGGACAGCATTTTGAATGGACTTTATTATGCAGAAGAAATACACGAGGGCACTGTGCACTGATGAATCTGGGAGTCTTGTGAAGATTCGGCGGGCTGAGCCAGTTTCCGAGGCTGTTCCAAAAATAGACAACCCAGGGTTTTAACTAAGGCAGCAACCGCACAATCAGTGAGGGATGGGGACAGAGCAGAGGGATGTCAGGGAAGCAGAATCTATGAAATTTGGTGACAATTCAATGTGAGAGATTTAGAAAAGAGAAGTGACATTCAGATGGTCGGATTCCTGGCTAAAGGGTACAACAGAATATGAATAAGGCACACGAGGAGAATGGTAATTTCCACGTTGGGCGTGTCATTTCAAATAGTCTGATACCTTAACTTTATTAAAAATTGCACATCGCAGAGCAGAAGGTCTTCAGAGATATCTAAGCTGCAGGAGTATTCCTGGGGGCAGGCAGGTGGTCACCACACAAGGAATGGGGTGAGATAAGCCCGAAATAGCATGCAGTGGGCTGGAAGAAGATACACAAAGACAATAGCTCTGGCAGTCGTCCATATTTTGGCGCCTGCATGTGCAAGTCTCCAAAGGAGACTAAGTGAAAGCTCAAAGAGAACGGAGAAGAGTACAAACGATCCTTGCAGGTGAACGAGGTCGCACAGAACAGTGGGATGGGGGGCACAGGGAGACGAGTGAGCACAGAACAGAAGGGTGATCCGCCCACAGACAGCCAAGGAGGCAATGGCCATCCCTGCAGGGACATTTCCAGCAGCGGAAGAAGCTGAACTTCAGTGGGCGCAGTAGAGGAGACCAGGAGCTCAGGAGAATAAATGGGATCGACTTCTTCTAAAAGGATGGATGTCCATGGAAGGAAGAGAGGGAGCTGGGTGATGAAACACAGGGAGCAGAGTGGAAAGCAGATATTCTTCCCCGAGCTGTGCATCCGTCCCGGACCACCCTGTGCTCCCCCTGTGGCGCTTTCTTCCCTTGCGGGATCATTTTATAAATCCATTGCTTTCTGCGAAAGCCAGTGGGTTCCCCTCGCGCGGCAGAGCCAAGATGCATCGTGCGCTCAGTCGGCGCTCTGGGGAGCTCAGGCGGTGAGCTGAGGTTAACTGCTGTGCCGGGATGGACAGTGTGTGTCGGCGGCGACAGTACAATTAGAACTTGTGACCGGCGATTTTCCACATAATCAGCTTGCTCCCGACCTCACCTGCCTCCTGCCACATGCATCCTGATGGGACAGCGTGATAAGTACTCGGTGTGGAAACTGTAGGAAGCGCACAGAAAATTCAAGGACTTGCAACCACCCAGCTATTAAGAATGCAGTGCGGAAACACCGAGAGCCAAATAGTAATGACAATCTTGTCGTGGGATATTAGAAATTTCTGAGGCTATCAGCCCACACTGTCATAGCGGATAACTCTAAAAGCACACCGACGAGGGGGCCGGAGAATAAATCGAATGAGACAGTATTCCCGGCAAGCGTGGCAGCTGATACAGACACGGAGGAGGGACCCCGGCAGGAACGGGGAGCAGACTGAATGACCCGAGGGAGGGGCAGATGGGTGGGAGGCAGGGACAAATGAAAAACAGAATTAAAAACTGAGGAGATACTAAATTGAATTTGTTCCAGCAAACATGCATGTTAACAAACTGATTGTGACAGCCAGCGTCATGACAGATTTTCTCCTAACCATTCAGAGTCAATGCCTCCCCCTCTTTCTTCTCCCTTAATCACATTGAAAATCAACCTCATGGGGCGCCCGGCTGACTCAGCTGGTTGGCATCTGGCTCTTGTTTTCAGCTGGGGTCGTGGTTCCGGGGCTGTGGGATCGAGCCCTCTGTCAGGGCTCTGTGCTCAGCGGGGTGTCTGCTTGGGGATTCTCTCTCTCTCTCTCTCTCTCTCTCTCTCTCTCTCTCTCTCTCTCCCTTTGATTCCCCCACCCCTGCTCGAGCTCTCTCTACAAAAATGAAAAATAAAAAAATTAAATCAACCTCCCAAAGGAATACACTTATTTTTCTTTATAGAGGGTAGATAATACTGCTTTTGCAAATACTAAAATTTCTTATCAAACAAAATCCTTGGATGAGTTGAAAAGGTTTATCAGTCAGGTGAGTTCTTTTGCAAATAAAGATACTTGATTTTAATTTTCAAAGAGAAATATTTACCACTGTGGCTACAAGAAACTCAGAAGAAGAAGAGCAGAAAGGTGTTAAATAGAATTCAGTCAGCTAATACTACACAACTGAGTTCCGCGTGCAAACTCAGAAGTGGGCACCTCCAGTCCAAGTTTTGCAAAGGTCCAAACAATGAATTTTGCAGCCGGGGATGTGCATGACGTCAGGCTTCCCTCCCCTTAGAAGTGATGGAATCTGTCCCCAAGGAGTCACCGCTGACAAGAGGATAAAAGATCTGAGTGTGACCCTCACGTAAGGGGCAGGTACATGGAGTGAGGAGAAGAGTAGGGAGCCACACGCCTTCCCCCACGCTGTCTCTGTCACCCCAGCCTGGAGACTCTGTGACCTTCGGTAGGACAGCACGGCTCACATTGTCCCTAATGAAGATAATGGTACTCACCCCGCTTTCAGAATTAATGAGATAATTTTTTTTAAGAACTCGGTGGCTGTTAAGTACTAATTATTATTATTCTAAGCCATCCTCAGAATAAACCTTCTGATACAAAGGATCTGGAGGAGGCAAAGAGTGCAGGGAACAAAGAGGCAGATGTGAGAGCTTTTCTTAGAAGCAAGAAGGCCAGAGTCAGAAGCGCTGTGTGGCTCTTAAAATTTTTAAACTTTTTGTCTGACAAAAGATCATACTTGAAGGGATTGGAGTTTCTCTGTTGTTATGTATACCTAAACGGAAAGGAAAAAAAAGTGGCAGACTTCTTCAGCTTAATACCATGTTGGGCTCAGGACTGCAGATACCTCCCACTTTGCCAGTGCTGAACTTACTCATGAAATTATATGTTTAGTCTGTGCAATTAAACACTCTTTGTCAGGAGATATAGCTGGGAGCTGGGGCGCATCTCTTCAGGCTAGCACTGTGACCCAGGAGCCTGCTTCCAACACTGGTGTTTCCAAGTGTCACCAAGAGTGGGTGCTGGGATGCTGTGCAGCTTGCCCTTGACTTAAGCCCTCACTTACTTACGGGCGTGTTCTTCTTGCAAGGACAACACACTTCAGATGACCTGGCTCTCATCAACTCAAAATTCAGTTGTGCGGGTTCACTTCCCTTGCCCTCCCAGTGGAGAATAGATTATAATTACAAACCCAGTGCCACTGATTACGGACTTCAGATGCTTGTTAAAATGTTCCTTCATTTCTAGCCTCTCGATTTCTGCTGCCCTGCAAAACGGCATTGACTGAATCAACAATGCACCGTGGTGGGAACAATGAAATGTTATAGAAAAAGACAGACTTCACGTTATCCAATCTAGGGAAAGCACATCCATCTGCAATCATGTAAGCATGCCTAAAAAATAAGTATGCACTTGTAATTCTACCATGCTGTCTTTAAATCTTTGTACAGTTTTTCAAAGCATCCGCCTACCATTTTCATCCAGATAAGTCAACAGGATAGAACTGGATTCTGTCCCCTCTACAGCATAATCCAACGGGATATTTCCATTAACATCCTGGAGAAGGACGTTGGCTCCAGCCTGTAAATGAAAAAGAACAAACAAAAAATGATGTATACTGTTAGCAAAGAAAGCAGATCAAAACTTTCACTTCTGTGTTAGCGGAGAAACAGGTCCAGAAAAGTCTGTACTAGATACAACCCTGGAGAATCCTGTAGGAAACTGTAATTACGTCGCAAGACAAATGCAATAATTATTTCGTGAGAAACTCCAATAGGCTAAAAACGTTCAATTGACCTTTGCAAGACCTTAGCACTGACCACTTCTCTCCACCCCTCTCGCTAAACCCCAAATATCCAGCCCATGACTGAGGAGCCAACCGCACCTCTGTGTCTTGTTTCTAACACAGTAGAAACTCCCCATGCCTTCGGAGAGTCTCCATGGAGAACTCTTCTATGAACTTCGACCCATCTTCCCCAAACTATCCTATAAGCTCTTCAAGCACCTCTTCCGCAGAAAGTCATTTGAGAGCTATTCTCACACTACTATGTTTGAATAAAGGCATGGACTAATGGCTTCTGGCTGTTTGTCTTTTTTTTTTTTTTCCCCTCTTTCCAGAAACTATTTTCTGAAAAAAGCACAATCTGTAATGGATGAAGTACATTAAATATGGCCATGACACATTGTTTAGCTTCCTCCTTGATGAAGCACCCTTCATCAAGCACCTCTGAGGGTGCATGCCCCACCCCGCCGCCCATTCCCGCTTAAATACAATGACAGATGTATTTTCCCTTTGGGAAAAAAATTTGCTCACATAAATCTTTAATGAGTCCCATAATATTTATCAGGCATGGTTTGCATCTCTTCTCCAAGGGCATGGCATAAAAACGTACCCATTGACCAAGACTCCCCGTTCACCTCCCAATCACGAGTCACTGAACTCAGGTCAAGACAATGAAAGTCTTCCCCTATTCTCTTTACTGAATACAATTCTGTGCTGCAATGTTACTGAAGTTTATATACTCTCCGAATCCCTAAGGTTTCATGAAAAGGTGTGTGACATTCATAATCTTATACACTAAAACGGGGGATTTTGCCTTCTGTTATTCTATACCTGTATTAAACAAACAGCTTTCCTATACCTTACGGACTGCACACAGCATTTCCATAGGACTGCTCTAAATATCCTGTGAAGACAAAACTGAAAGTAGATCCAAGTGGCAAAATCTTCTGTATCTTGCTATCTGCCCTGCAAAGAACTATGCCGCTCACCTCACCACCCAGAGTGCAGCACATTCGATTTTCTATAATTATACAAAGATACTGCTGTATTTGAACAAATTAAGTTCTATAATGCAGATTCTCACTTAGCTAAGGAAACGTGTAAGTTTAAGGTCCTTAAGACTTCAAAGGATCTTCTTTGTGCATTTAATTTTTTTAGGTATTCAGAGTTTGAAAGGAAATCACTTGAGGCAGTATTGTTAAGCAGACTTTGCTAATGAGTCCTCTCCTTTAGTGTCCAACCAGGAGGGTAAGATTTTGCATAGCTACTCAAGTACCAATTGTTAAAGAGAGAACCGTAGGGTGTCATTGTCCATTTCCGTACTCATGAGCGGAAGTCAATCAAGTCATTCTCTTTTTTCCCCAATGCATAAACGTCCGGCTAGAATCTTATCTCTGCCAAACATCTGGATACAAGGCAACAGTGAATATAACTAAGAGTCAGGTATTATCAATAACAACAAAAAGAAATAGGAGGGCAACTCGGTGCTGAGGGGGATGGTGCACCTGGAGAGAACTCTTTCTACTCTGTAAGAAGTAATGAGGCTCTTACAAAGCATGTCTCAAGCTGACACCTGCAGCTCAGTATTTTAGCTGGGCTCATTCACTGCGATTCCAACCCATTCATCACTCACCAGTCTGCGCTGCTCAATTCCCAGGTGTTCTCCCCCTACAGAAGTTAGTCTTCCCTGGGGGTGAGAAACTTCCCGCACCAAAAGATCACAGCTTATCTCCCCTTACAGTAGCCCCCACCCGCCCCAGCTATGGTGCCTGGCCCATGTTGGGAACTAAAAAAGGTTTACTGGGAGAAAAAAAAAACAAACAAACCAAAAAGGCAAAAACTGAACTTAGACTAATTATTAAAAATTAAAGCAGAGAAATATAATTTTCATAATTTTTAACTAAATTCCCTTTTATTTTTAAGGGTGCACAAATAAAATTACAAAACCACTGTATGCATACTTACATTTCCTGACTTTGCTCCTTCACATGGATATTCGTGAATATTCCTTTCCTTTCCTTCCTTCCTCCCTCCCTGCCTCCCTCCATTCCTCCTTCCCTCCCTCCATCTCCCTCTCCCCTTCTTCTCCCTCTCTTCTTTCTTTCCTCACTGGACAGGGTGAGAGCACCCCACCTGTGGGTGTCCTGGTGCTGGACCACCTCCACCCTGACCGTCTGGTCTTGGGAGAGGCCCCTGAACAAGCTGAACTGCGTGCGGGAAGAACACTGGTCTTCAAGGACCCCCTCAGAAGCTATATATCTGGAATTATACTTCTGAAATTGTACATCTATTAAGAAAACAAAAATGGAAAAAACCACCATTGATAAGATTCATGACTGGTTATCATTCTTAGTGTGACTGGCTCAAGTGTTAGTATGAATTTTAGTTGTTAACAAATCCCACCGGAACTGAGGGGCTGAGGACTTGGAAAGACTTCTCAAAATGTCAGAGACCTGCCTTCATACCATCAGGATGGTCTAATTTCCAGCGTACAGAAAGGAAACGGCCCACGGGGTTGGGAATGAGTAACATTCATAACGTACTGTGCCAGTACTTATTTTTTTAAATACTTTGAGCCACTCAGTAACATAAAATGAATTTTCTCGAAGTTACAAAGTGAGAGCCAATAAAACATTCAATAAAAATATCCCCTTGACATTGTCCCTTTTTAATATGAAATTTGAAAACATATATGTATTCTAAAATACTTTTTCTCTTCCAGACATGATATTCTTAAATACGTTTTTTTAAAAATAAAATTCTTTTCACATTTCAAATTTCATTCCACGGATGCTAAGAGTCCACTAAATGGTTTTTCAGTGCTGAGTATCAAAGCCGGGGCAAAGTGCTCCTGAACTGTGCCACATATTAACTACAGTGTTTCTGTGGATGCAGGGCTCACTATTTTTAGTACAGAACGTGGGCACCAACAGCAAACATAAACTTTAATTTCCCCACGTGTCGGTGTGTGCATTCCACGGCGCACACCACTGTTTCGTTCAAGGGCCTGAGAAGCAGGATGAGGTGAGGGCTTTAGGCTAGATTTTCAAACGCAGGACAAAGCATATCCAAGGTCGCACCTACTCTATTGAAAAGAACAACTGTCTAAGCCATCAGGACATGTTTTCCAAAGCTTAAACAGTATTTTATAATAACTAATGTTGTACTTTATAAAAGCAGATGGCTTAGGAACTGGCTGTGTAAAAAGGATAGTGAGTGAGAATAAATGGTAGGCACACATAGTTTCCCGTTTATATCCAGCGCCCGTGAGCACACTAAGCCCTGGGAGGAGTGTGTGTGCGTGCACAGGTGTGTATGCGTGCAAAACACCTTCCTAGTTCTACATTCCTACACCTGATCACCAGATGTCAAATTTCTTACACTGACAGTCATCATTATTCTTTGTCTTACTCAAAGAAGAAGTTGCGCATTAAGAAAAACTGGCATTAGCGAGAACAACTCAACCAAAACATCTTTTCCTTGCGCAATACAACTCTTGAGGCAAGTCCTTCAGTTTGGCCTCAAGACAATCAATCACGTCGTGATTGGTTTTCATCAGGGAAATGAAAGTAATCAATGTTATCTACGCAAAATCCCACTCCTCAAATACTTCCTTCGGTTGAGGACTGCACAGTTTCTACGGGGAGCCCCGAGCACATTTTCTCTAAGGAAGGCCACCCAAACTCCAGCCTGTCCTAACCTATGTTCCTTGGTATTGGAAACAGAACTCAAATATATCACCCCCCCCACCCGCCAGATAGGAAACTTATTTACTGCCTATTAGATGACATATGAACCCATAAGTGCACCTTTCCTGTAAATAAACCTTGTATTGGTTGCTTCATGTAAAAATTTGTTGTCAGTGAATATACCTGCCAAGGCTTTCATTCATAATAATTCTCTAACACATTAATACTGGAATTTTAATGAGAGGCAGCCGATGGCATCTTAATAAGCAAATGCCACTTTTTACAGGCTAACACTTTCTGGTAACTCTATTCTGATATAATTTCAAGTTCCGTTAAAGTTGCAAGAGCAGTACAAAGAGCTCCAGTTAGGGGTTGAACTGCATTCCGCCCCCCCCCCCCAGAAAAAAGGAAACACTGAAGTCCTGATCCCTAGTAGCTGTGAATGTTTCCTTATTTGGAAACAGGATGAGTGCAGATGTAATTAGGAAAGTTAAGATGAGGAGCCCTGGGCCACACACGCGGCGGGAGGGTGGCCACGTGAAGACAGAGGTAGCCATGCAGCCACCAACAGAGGAATACCAGGTGGCCCGAGGACCTGGACGAGATAAGGAAGGAGACTCTTCTAGAGGCTGCAGAGCCCTGTGGCCCTGCTGACACCTTGTTCAGACTCCTGGCCTCCAGAACGATGAGACAATAAATTTCTGTTGCTTTAAGCCCTTTAGTTTGTGGTACTTTATTATAGCAATCCTAAGAAACTTAATACTTTGCCCTTTACCCAAATTTGCCAATTTATACTTTGCCCCTATTTTTTGCACTCTCTATTTTTCCTGAATCTCTTCTTTTTAAAGTTTGATTTTATTTGAGAGAGAGACAGGGAGAGAGGGCGCACAAGCATGAGCAAGAGCAGGGGGAGGGGCAGAGGGGGAGGGAGAGAGAGAATCCCAAGTAGACTCTGAGCTGAGCGTGGAGCCTGACGAAGGGCTCGATTCCACGACCTTGAGATCATGACCTGAACCAAAACCTAGAGTCAGCTGCTTAACTGACCGAGCCACCCAGGCGCCTCTTCTGAATCTCTTAAAAGTGAATCACAAGAATCATGTCCCTTTACC